GTCGCACCAATGTTTCGGCCGTGACGGTAGAGATGGGAGTAGCCTCGGGTCATCTTGTGAACCGGTCAACGCAGGTAAGTATATATATATGCGTATACCCCTGTGACAGTGGTAAAGGTCCGACATTGTCAATGTGCATATGATCGAATCGAGAGTCAGGCGTGGCGAAAGAACGAAATCCTCTCTTATCGACTGAATCACCCTAAACAGTCGTTTATGTGCAGTGTGTCTACAGAGTTCAATCAGCGTCCGGAAAGGAAATAACACAAAAAAGTGTTTGTTCATCGTGTCGGCATACGCACCGACTAATTGCAGCTCTGATACTCAAAAAGACGGTTTCTACGGTGATCTCATCGGTCTCATGCTACTGAGTCAAAGTTCCGACATGGGTGTATTTGCAGGTGACTTCGCCGCGCAAGTTGAAAAACTGAATGCATCAGAACCTTACTTAGGCGGAAGTTTCGCTCTACCCTGCTAACGAACAGATAACGGTGATTTACTTCTTTCCTGCCAACACACGGGAGCATGTTTCGCTTTCAAAACACTCCGACTTTCGCGTTTTTTCTAAAACTTGTCTTTTCTCCATTTCAGCTGTGCAGAATTATATAATAAATCATTATATTTTCATAAATGTTAAATTAGTTTCTACAATTTTCATTTTATCGACAAAATTTTCCGCTTTGTTTTAATTGACCCTTAGTTTTGGTAGGCAAGTTGTTTATCCGCCATATTGGTTTTGTTAAGGCTAACAACCCCCCATATACGTTTAGAAAATGAAGGTAGCACCTTATTGTTTATACTTCATTCGTGTCGGCATTTAGATATCACAAATAAAAATGTACATGCGTCAGTTATTCAAATATGCGTATCGTTGTAAACTTATTACGAATACCCTTCACTAGTCATTATGCGTTGATGAATGTGAATCCTCCTGTAACGTTGACTTTATTGTTGAATTCGCCGATAATGCGATAGCCACAGTGTACCAAAAAGGAGTCCATCTCAGACAATGAAATTCTATTGCCTAGACCGGGTCAATTATCAATTAGTATTATGATTACTATCAAGTCAGTCGTAAGGTAAGTAGATTACAGAGTTGACATATGGCACTCAAGACGCAGCAATACCAGCTTACTGGAGTCAGGGACGGAAAAAGAGATCTGTCCACCACCGACACGGTAGGATTTTTATTTATTTCCAATTATTCATCACACAGGTCCTCAGATCAGACGCCAAGTACATCTGATACGCAAGGCCAAGCATCAAGGTGAGATAATTAATCCTTATGCTCACGGAAATTAGCCAATTATTGAGATAGTCGACTTAAATAAGTCAGTTTTTCTGCTCAATCAACGATAATTGATATCCAACGTGGAACGTGATGTTGGTGCATATTTTATTTATGAATGAATATAAGTGAATGTTGCCTTTGTTCTCATTAACAGTGAATTTAATTGGAGTGATATCCACGGGAAACATTGTCGTCATTATGCATAACAGACGTGATCATGGGCAAGTTCAAATGCCGATTAGCTTTTATGTAGGGATATCTCGTGGTGAAACATTGATCGTGTGTTCCCGGGATCATTGATTTCTTTATTCCTCTGTAGCTTTTATTAGTACATAAGGTAGTTTTCACGCATAACTAAGGGATTGTTTACAATGAATACATTATGTAAATTGATTAAAAAGTTTATGTCATGCTTTTTACAACTTCTCTGATTTAAACTAATATTTTTTTATATTTCTATTTTGTAGATACCATTTACCGTCATCAGTTAAGCAAATATAACTATAGTTGTATGAAGTTTGTCGTTACAGGTGGATTATCTCGTCGCAGGTATGGGTGAGCCAATGCGGGAGTCGATATTTCTGCTAGTCAAACGTACGTTCACCCCGCAACTAATCAAAAAATNCGCAATCATGAATAAGTGAAAATGCTGATAAGCTTTGGAATACTCACATCTCGTAACGATTTGTTCGTTGTGTTCCATTTATATTTGCTTGCCTATTTCCTGTTATTTTTCTTATACTATTTTGCGCCGTTATCACGCATTTTCAATGGATCGTTTATTTGGAATGTATTACATAAATTGATTATCGACTTCAAATGTGCTTTTCATTATAATTATTTTACCGATTCTCTGATTTATACTAATATTTATTTATATTCCAATTTTGCGGATGCAATTTATCGTCATCAGTTCAGTGAATACATTTATTAAGAAGGAACCCGTATATTAAAGAAGTTCATTCACAAGCATGGATAAAGAGCTACTCTCATTGTTGTACATTTACAATGTTCCTGTATTATAATTTTATTGTAATACATTCTTCGGCGTTTTACTGGACGGCATATATTGGTATGGAATAGGCCTTTAGCAGTCAAACGATTAACCGATAGAAGCAAACCGGTAGGTTCAAATATAGGCGGAGCAATCATGTGGGAGGTATAAGGCGTATGTTGATCAGAAATAAGCGAGGTAAGTAGGTTATGAGTAAAGTGAGGAGTGAAAAAAAGGCCAAATAAAGGAATGGATAAAAAAGATTTGTTCCGTGGGTGACGGGCAAAATGTGCAAAGTGCCCGTTGCAAATTCATGTTTCACACCCGACATTTTGCGTGAAAAGTTTCGCGAAGCAGAACGTGAAAGATTGCGCGTAATATTCGCGTTTTTGCTGGCAGGATTTAGTTCTGTGCGGATCATCATCTGTTGCTATCAAGCACCAACTTCTGACACAGCTCTCGACAGACGGCTACGTGGCGCCCCAGTTCCACAGGCACGCTAACTCAAATCGACCACAAAGCAGTAAGCTACCGTTGGCGTGGCTCAGTGCAAGTTTGCAGGTCCTATTGAACCACTGCGTTGAGTCTGATCACGCATTAGTTTTGATGCAGTTCATCCTTCGATCGACGGGTCAGCGACAAAAACAGCAAACGCGTATAGCTCATCATCGACTATCAGTTCCAGCAGTTCGTGTGCGCTATGAGTCAGAGATAGTATATGGGCTAAGCGCGCCCCAAGCTGATGATGTAGATGTGCAGTGGGATCAGAATAGGCGAGTAATGCATTCCGCAGCGAATGTTGCTTTTGGCCCGTCGGCAACATAGGATACCTCGGGAGTCAGTAGCCCTGATGGAGAAGAGACGGCAAGTCCCGACCTGCCATGATCAAAACAGAGTTAGGTGGCATCAATAAAGTCAGTTTACGAAGAGTTTAAAGAAGAACCGCGAGAAATGGTGGGTAACAATGGATAGTGAACCGGAACTAGCGGCTGCAGCAATGGTCAAAGACTGTTCCGACTGATAAGCATTACGGGAGGTTGGTGAACTGAAGTTAGTGAAACAGTCTGTTATAAGATGGGACCAGCTATTGGCAATGAGGATCAACGACTAGATCGCTGGGCAGAATACCTCAGCAAAATTTCAGCTGGCCTGCCGCTAACCAGATCGCTTCATCTACAGTTGAAGCTCCGTCGTCAGTCTTGCGATACCTATAAAAGAGGCTAGCATCCGTGAAAAGCAAGCCGGATTCCTGCCTGGCCGTGGATGTATTGATTGCGCCAGATTCTTAAGCTGCGTCAAACCTACCGCCGGCCAACGATCGCAGTGTTCCTTGACCTGGAAGGAACCTTCCGGTCACACGCTATGGACCCCTGGTTTGACCACGAGCTCCGTTAGATGCTCAAGCGTCAAAACGGGGCGTAGAAAGCGTTTCCCGCTCATGAATCTAACTATGATCAACACAAGGCGCTGCAATAAAATCCAGAAAACGGCGAGTGTACGATGAATCCCTGACAGCCGAAGCGGCCACTATGCCGAAGCGTTTCTACGCATATCTTAGTCGTCGCACGCGTGCAACGGCTGACATAATATTTTTGGAGATTAACGGCGCCCTGGCAGAAACTGATGTTGATAAGGCGGAAGCACTATGGGTTCCGTCCGCAGCGATATTGCGTCTGGAATCTGCTACTTGCTCGGGAGAATTTGGCGTCTGCCAGGACCGCTGGTTACGAAACGGATGTCATCTTTATTGATTTCAGTAATGCATTCGAAAAGGTGCCACACGGACGGTTGTTGGAGAAGCTGAGGGCTCGCGGTGTTGCAGACCCTCTATAACCTTGGATTGAGGATTTCCTCGTTAGGTGGGCGTTCAATGTCAGAGTCGCGTCACTATCCTGTCGCCAGTGGATTGCCACAGAAATCTGTCCTAGGACCTGTACTGTTCCTTCTCTTCGTGAATGCCCTGCGCTCTCAGTTTAACTCATCTTGCCTGCTCTACGCGAATGATGTGAAACTGTGGAGAACCATAAGAACACCGGAGGACCACCGTGCCCTCCAAGAGGATTTAGACAAGTTACATCAATAGGGTGATGTCTGGGAACTTCCAGTGAATCTGCCAAAATGCACTCATATACGTCTGGGACGCGAGACACCCGACATTCCTTATCTGATGAACAACGTCCCACTGCGTTTGACGGGAACCGAGCGGGAATTGGGAGTCATCATCTCTTCATCCATGAAGACCCAGATGAACACCGTGCGAGCATGTTCTGGCAAGGAGCATACTAGATACCATCCTTCGGTCGTTTGACAGCCTGTCGTTCACGGCCTTCAAGACGTTGTTGTCTTCTCATGTTCGCCCCCGGCTCTGATACAGTGGACCCGCTGTATACCGAAATGTTCAGAAATAAACGGATAAAGCGCTAGGCCACTCGCCTAGACGCGGAACTTCGCGGGATCTGTCATGAAGGTCGGCTGCAGGCACTTGAAATCTACCCGGTTAGCCACAGAAGGCTCTGCGGGGTTTGATCTATCTGTGGAAGATTCTTTGTGGCGAACTGGAACCGGAATTATGCGCTATGTTTCCACTGCGAGAATGCAACCGGACGCGTGGCCACAGGCTCAACCTCCGGAAGATGGAGTCGACGGGGCTATCTTTTTTCTGGCGCCTTTTCCGGATTGTGACTTCTCTCTGGAATTCACTCCCGTCGGAGGTGGTGGAGGAGCAGAACGAGGCATGATTCAAACGCCGTCTCCACGAGCACTTGGTGAGAGGGTGCAGATCACTGAGTGGGTTGCTATCGGTACCGGCGGTGATGAGGCACATACGGGGCGCGGCCCCTTTGCCTTCTGCACATGAAGGTGAAAACCTGCAAACTTGCAAGTGGGAACATAACTTCAGGTAGCAGGAAAGCCACTTTAGGCTGCAACTGAGGGCAACATTTTTCACTAACAGGGTAATTCCGTCGTGGAACCGATTGCCGCTGCCAGTGGTAAGCTGCAGTTTACTCTTGTTGGTCTCCAGTTGACGTTCATGTGATGAACAAAGCGAGGTAATGACGACAAAAATTTTCACCGAACATATTTATTCTGGGTTGTCTCAAGGGACTAAAAAAAATTTAAATAAAAAAAACATGAATAAAATAAATAAACAAAGGGAAAGAAGAGAGAAAAAAAAGATCAATTTTACATCGGCAACGAAAAGTCCACCACGCTTTCATACATCGTACACTAAACAGCACGCACTCGAATGTATCTCAGCAAACCACTCACCATCGCAACACATAAATGTATACAATAAACAAGCATCGCACAAAAATTGACACGATTCTCCCCTTGCTGGCCATTGTTGACTGTGCTACTACTGCCGGTTTCTAATTTGAGTGCGAAAATGAAACTCACAATGGTACTGCTAGTTCTTATTCCTACCGCTCCTCCCCCTGTAAACCTTTTTGATATAACGCTAAACAGCATCACCTGAAGTAAACCGCTGGCATTGTTGCTCGTTTGGGTAGCGCTGAAACTAGAAACTGTAAGCTAACCATCATAATCCACGGAAATAATGTTTACGTTGTAGCACCAGAGGAAGTCCGAAATCCCAATGGTGTATGAACCTAGACGCACGTTAGGCGAAAGCCTGTTTTCGTCCTAGAAATCTGAGCTGACCTAACCTATTACGCCCGGGGCCTCTGATGCTATAGATAGGTCATTCACGCCAGCTCTACAAGCATAAACTATCACAGTGTGTTACACGAACGCTTGTAGTATCCGTGGAAAGTGGGAGAACAAGAAGCCCTATCCTGGGGATCAGACATAGTATCACTGAATCGTGGCCTAAAAAGGAGCAACCCGTTGCCCATTTAAGCGGGTAAACAAGCTATAGGCAGGACAGGATTGACGGCAGACAGGGAGGCGGAGTACTACTGCTCGCCAAGGCTGCCCTAAATTAAAGGGAAATGCAGCCGGTGTTAGCTACTCCAAATATCCAAGCTATAGGATGCTGTATTCAACTAGGGTGGAAGCAAGTGGCCGTAGCATGCCTATCTAGAGCCCCTAATACGACGCCAGTAGAAGATACGGAGCTGCTCCTGATGCTACAACAAACGCTGGCAAAATACCAGCGCTTTGTCAACACTGGCGACTTCAATTTTCCGGAGGTAGCATGATCAACGGGGTATGCACCCACGGGATCCTTAGGGGGTGCATTCTTACGATTTCTACAAGAAAGAGCTCCTACACAGCATGTGACAAGAGCCACGAGATACTTAAGACAACAGAGACCCTCGCTGCTAGAATTAATTGTCACAAGGTACTGCTCGGACATAACCAGTCTAAATAAGAAACAACCGTTGTGAAAAAGTGACCACAAAGTTATTCACCTTAGACTAATGGTTAGTTATCGTAGGCACGGACCTTCTCTTATGCATCCCGTATTATCTCATAAACGTCACAAATTTGGTACAAGCTGCAAATACCATCAGCTGATACCCGACGTCCCCGGAGTGTACCGTACAAGATAGATGAAACGTAGTTAGATGAGGGTTAACTGGCTTGAAAGTAAGGTTCGCGACCCTGAGGGAAGGACGAACCAGGCACAGACCAATATGGTGGAAAACCGGGATAGAGAGGAAGCCGAAAACTCGCCGACAATGCTGGGATTGTCTTAAGCTTTACGGCACACAACAAGCCTGGAGTGAATAGAAGGGAGCGCGCAACAGACATCAAGATCTTCAAAGGCGTGCTAAAAACGACTTCGAGTTTACCTTAGCACGAGGTGTCAAAAAGAACCCGAAAATCTTCTGTGCGTACGTGCAAGCAAACGCACACACACGGGAGAGTATATGAGCACTAGCTTTGCCCGATGGAAGCATAACCACGATAAAGTGGAAACCCTACTTAAGTTCTTCAAAAGCATTTATAGGACCCCAGCCAACTCTGATAATCCGGGTTTAGCAAGATCGACCCATACGTCACAGTTTGCCGATAATACCATCTGTGAAACAGATGTACATCGAGAACTCCAGACGTTCAACAAGAACAAGTCAGCAGGTTGGGATGGACTCTATCCAGCCATAGTACAGCCGCTGGCCGGGGTGCTAGCCGGGCCTCTGACTGTATTTTTTAGGGAATCAGTTTAAACTGCTATGCAACCCCAGGAATGGCGTACAGCTACCGTAGTAGCATTGCACAAGGCTGGACAGAAACACAAGGTGGGACTTACCTTTAAATCTAAGCAAGTGTCGGCTCTTAGCAACAACAGCTGGGGTGTACACGTTGAATTGAGGTGCCATGCAGCAAGTCCTGCGGATGAAGCATCTAGGGGTTCTTATGACTTAATGTTATAAACACTCAACTCACTGCCTCAAGGCTGCCAACCAGGCTAGGTGGCAGCTGTTCAGGTTGTGTGCCACAGTGACAAGCAAACGGCCTGAGGTTTTTGTCCCACTGTATAAATCGACTGTCCTCCCACACGTGGAATATTGTGTGCAGGCATGGGCACTGTATTAAAGGAGGACTGTAACATGTTCAGAAAGAGTTCAACGCCTAACTACCACAATGGTGACTAGACAAAAGGGGAAAACCTATGAGCAGCGATTAAGAGATCTTGATCTCTGGAGCATGGACGAGTGAGGGCAGATCTGATGGAGACTTTTAAAATTGTATAAGGTCTATCGGGACTCAACCTAGATGACTTGTTTACGATTTCTTGCGCTCAAAACTAGTGTGGTCATGGCTATAAACTTCGACAAAACCACGCCAGGTTGGAAGTACGGGCCAAATTCTTCGCACACGAGGTCAAACTTATGTGTAACGGGTTACCCGCCGAAGTGGTCAATTGTGCCAATGTTACCGCCTTTAAGGTTGCCCCGGACGCATGTTGACCAACAACGTTCGCCAAAGTCAGCATTTAGAGCATGGAATTGAATAAACTCAGGCGTGATTGTTAGAATTGTCCTCAAACTGACTGTGCTGTCACATGTGATTTGTGTATACCAACGCATGTTTACTTGAGGTCTCTAACCAATTAGGCGATGAGATATCCTTGATTATTTTCCTCCTTGACCATGGAAAATGTAGAATACCATAAAGTTCTCGGTTTCTGGCTGACCAGATCTCTCTCGTTTTCCTATTGTTGTGCTGCTTAACACATTTCTTCGATAACATTTGTATTCATTGCCCCCTTGAACACGCAACATCAATACTCGATACACATACAGACGTACAGACATACACGCACGTGACATGGACGTTCCCCACATGCAACCTTGATTACATTGACCAATCAGACTGCACCACGTGTATGCTTGGTATTGATTGGATGACTGCTGCTCACTTGTACGGCCAGTACCGGCTGAGGACATACTTCTGCTAATTTACATGAATCACGTTGCTGCCGTTCTCTGCTAATTAAAAGGATTTACTTACGTGTATATTGCGAGTTCTACTGAATACAACATTTGACGTCGCAACATGAGTTCAGGAATTACTCCACCTGCTCCATTTTGGATAGACCGTAACATTCAACCTACTCCAGAGTCCTGGGAACAATGAAAAACTTCGTTTAACAATTATATCGATCTTCTGCCTGTGCTAAATTCATTGATTGTTCTGGATGAAACCCACAATTTAAGGCTTTTGCGTCATTTGCTCGGAGACAAAGGACAGCGAAACTTTGACGATCTCAATTTACAAGCGGGTTCCAACGTACAATCTGTTCTCAGCAGCTTGAACCGTTCTGTGGGATCGCAACTGAATGTGTTCACTGCTCGATTCCGATTCTCTCGCATTATTCAGGAAAATGGGGAGCCACTGAAGCAGTTTGTTTCTCGATTAAACCGAGCAGTACGATTTTGTGAGTATTCTAAAGTTCCACAGAAGAAAACTGAAGGATCAATGTTGATTCAGCAATTCATATCCGGCATAAAAGATGATCAATTTCGTGAATCACTCTCAAAAGAGGATGCTGATGAACTGACTCGGGAGAAAGCTTGTGAATAAGCGTTCATTAAAGATGAAATATCGAAGCAGTCAAAAGAGTTTGTCTGTTCTGGTGAAATTGTTGAGGTCTCTAAATTGTTCCCCTCACCGGAGAGCAGCATAATAAAAAATATCACATGTTACCGATGTGGAAGTAAATCCCACAAAGCCAATTACTCTTCGTGCCCAGCCCGATCAGCAGAGTGAAAAATCTGCCACAAGGTTGGTCACTTTTCTCCTGTCTGTTGTCAGAGGAATGTATCTAGTGTTGATAGCGCCATTGCAGTACACGGAACTTCAAGTGAACAAAAAGAAAATCAGAATATTTTTGCATTTCACATCATTTTTCAAATTTTACCACTGACGGGTCAGTGAATAATGAACCCAAACTTCCTTGCTCGGATATTCGTAATGTTATTTTTCACACACAACATGGTAATATGTCACTGACAATGGAATTAGACTCCGCTTCGCCTATATCTACGGTTCCCTCAAGCTTATACGAACAATATCTTTACATGTATTCGTTGTATCAATCTGCTTACAAGTTTGGCAGCTATACAAAAGAACCGCTGGATATTAGAGGCTTCGTTATTGTGGACTTGTCACTGCAAACATCTCGATCGCCAGTCGCCGTTTATGTGACTACGCATGATAACAAACCACNGTAATGCTATGGCGGTTATGAAGGTCGTCCCGGATATCCAACAAATGACCATCAGCAGAATTGACTCTTCAACGTGGAGGGATCGTTTCCCAAAGTTATTCGATTCATCCCTCGGACGAATTCCTTTCGGGAAACACCAAATTGTTTTGAAACTGCACGCTAAACCATTTGCTATCAGTTAACCACTTCCAGTACCACTAGCGAAGCGTGAAGCG